TCTCACTCACGGAACCAGATGCAAGATACATTAAATATACTTAATGCGAGATCACAAACGACTAGGTCTAAAAATCCACATAGGAAAAGCAAAGACAATGAGAAAACAATCGGACAAATAGTAATGTAAGTAAAGTGAAGGAAACTTTCTCACGCCTTCAGGCCTACTGGGCATATAGGGCTAGACTTTATAGACCAATCGGCACTTGGTGGGTGATATGGTGATATGTAGTTTTCCTTAATGATATCTCACTCCAAGATGTGGAACCATATACCCAGTTGGGCAGTAATATAGATAAATAGGAGGGGGTGGGGGGGGGGGGCTAATAAAGATATTAAGGTTAAAGATAATAAAATTCGAATACAACAGGCAAAAGGAGTTTTCATAACACTAGACAATGTGTGGAGGTAAAAAGAAATTAAACCGAATACTAAACTCAAAGCTTTTAATTCTAATGTCAAATCATTACTGTTGTATGGAGCCGGAGCATGAAAAACAATTCAAACAATTACTAATAAATACAATCATTTATTAATTGGTCCCTGTGCAGAATGGAGGACATAAAATGGTATGATATAACCACTAACATTTAGCTTATGGGGAGAACTAAACAGCTCCGGTGGACTAGGAACTGAGGAAAAGACGATGACATTGGATAAGACGCACGTTTGAGAAAACCCGAGAGCACTATAAACAGAATGTCAGTGCACTCAAGCCCACAGCAGCATAGAAATAAAGGCAAACCAAAAACACACAGAGAAGGGATGTAGAGAATGAGGTTTAACAAGAAAAGATATGATGGGCATGGAGCGAGCTGCCTGCAATAGCAAAGGTTAGAACGACTTGGCGTCAGTAGGTTGAGGGCCTCTGCACCACTGGGGGGTAAAGGGCGGAAGCAGATTTGGTCAGAGTTGAATGACATGTTTAAAATGTATGCACTTCATCGTGTAAGGAGGTTATGGTGGAAACAATGCAGGGAAAAGGTGTACGAGAAAAACTACGATGCATATGGGTTGGTTTCATGTAGACACAAACAAACGGCAGTCTTTGGAAATTTTCCACCAAATAATAGGGCAGAGAATGTGGTAGGCACAATCAACCAATCAGTCAATAAATCAAAAGCCCTCTGCATACTGAAGGCTGTCCGCTGTAGATCTTTAAATGCTATGTCTGTCACCCTTGATTTACACTTTCTGACACTGTTGTTCGTCAATCTCTTGATGTTAAATGTTGCTTTCTGTTATGTCTGCTGATAGGGCCTTGTGTCTGTTTACTGTTAGTTTGTTCTCCCCACAGTTCCTTGTATTTTCCCCTGAAAAGTGTTTTGATTTCTGGTAATGACAATGAAAGGGTGTGTTGTTTCTCCTTTTTTCCATTAACTAATTTCCTGGTATGCCGCAGTCACCCGGGATCCACTGGCGAACGATTTGATTGTTTTCTGCCCTATGAGTAGCCAGCAAGACTGACATACAGTCACAAAGGCAAACATTTTTGCTGTTTTTAATTTTTCTTTCCTGAAGCACTTTGACGGACTCAATAATTGCTTGCTGCTTTGCTCTGAAGTTTGTTGAGAGTCTTCTGGAGGCGCATGCCGTTTCTACTGCGGTCCCATCTTTCAGCATGATGACCGATCCAGCTCCTCCGTTGTTGTTGTTTTTTAGTGTGTGCTCCCCAAGTATTTTATCGGCGTATACGTGTGTCCATTCGAGTTTTTGATAAGAGTGGTAGACATGTTCAAGGGTCTTTGCATGCAGTACTAGGTCGCATTCTTCAGTCTTTCTGTCTTTTCCTGGAATTGTTGATTGTCACTGTATAATTAGTCTGTAGGTCTACTCTGTAAACCTGGATCATTTCCTACGTTGAAGGATCTTTAGAAACGATGTCACTGTTTTTTTTTTTTTTCATAGTACAGTGTTGATAGATGCTTAAAACTGTGTCTTTTCAGTCGGTGTTCAGCTAAGTTGTTTTCTATTCTGTGCATGGGGTTAATATTCATGCTTTAAATTTTTCTGTTAGGGTAAGCACGTTTTCTTCCTTTCGAAGGCTTAAGCTCTGGAGGCCAGAAGTTGCCTCCAGCTCATTGACTGTGTGCTTCTCATACCTGCAGTAGCAATTCTACCACCAGGCTTCTGTATTTTGTCTAGTTTGTGTAGGTTTGATCTGACTGTAGTGGACTATACTCCCAAGCCACAGTCCAGTTTTGATCCTACGTATTCTTTGTATACTTGTCGTACAGTGTTGGCAAGTGCACCCTAGCTTGTTTCCTGTGGGTGTCTTTAATTTGGGAGCTCCCGGTTAGCCATTTTGTCGAATGTTACTCCATAATATGTGGGGTTATCCTCTTTTGAAAGGATGTTGCCTTCTAGGTACAGATGAACTTGTTCTGGCTTTGCGGAAAGAGAGAAGAGAGTTGATATGGTTTTGGTCTGGTTTATTGTGACTTCCCAAGAGTTTGTTCATTTAATAAACTGTATTTATAGCTTCCTGCATTCTTGTTTTAGTTGTTCCTGCACGTTCAGCTTGGGCCCATATGGTCAGGTCATCTGCTTGTAGGGCCTTGTGAATGTGAGTCGTGAACTGTTTTAGTAATTCATAGATGAAAAGAATAAACAGGGTAGGAGATATAAACCTCCCTGGGGGATACCTTCTTGTAACCTAACCAACTTGCTCTTGTGTTCTTCCAGTCTGACTCTCGCACAACGTTTGTAAAGAAAGTCTCTAATCCAGGCAAACATATACCCTTTTATCTCACTGTGTGCTAGTTTTAGCAAAAACACTTTCTTCCATACCTCATCAAAGGCTTTGGTCAGGTCAAAGAAAGTAGCTAGCAGTTTGTATTTTTTTCTGGAAAACATTTTCAATTCCTGTGCGACATAAGAAGCTTGGTCGTTAATGCTTCTGTATCTCCTGAAGACTGATTGGCTGTCATCCAAGATCTTGTTTGCTTCCAGCAAATTAGGTAACCTGTTGTTCACTAATCTTTGCATGGCTTATCCAAAGTAACCGACCATTTAACATATTTGTGTACCAATTTGGACTCTCAATGAAATACAACGGATGCAGTTATAATACGCATTGGCAAAGAAACAACAAAAAGCCTTAAATTATGGAGCTCCAAATAAGCCAGCTTTAGGACCACACTATAAATCTTCAACTGTAACGTTTTTTCAGATCTAGCATATGCCAGGAAAATTGGGGAACCTCTATTTATATGGAAGGGAAGTTAACGCATTGCAAATTAAAAAACAAGTTCGAGAAAAATCATGAATATAAAATAGGATTGATAAAAAAAAATAAGGAGATCAGGGAGATGTCTGGACAAATACCTGTATCGACTGCAATACGGCAAAGAAGATGGAGATTTATTAAGTACACCCGAGACGAAATTAGCAAAGAATTGCAAAACAGGCACTCAATGTGAAACACACAAAACAAGTTATTTACTCATCCTTTACAGGACGATGCAGAACCAACACTAGGATTTTTTTTTTTCCTGTTGCGTTTTCCTAGCAAATTTTACGTTCAGTAGTTTACCATTGCTACTGAACGGTCAGCTCTCGGTACCACTGTCGAACCAACGCAAGACAAACCGTCCGCAGCTGGGATCGAACCCGACACCCGGGCTTGTTCGCAACGCCTGAGCCACAGCCGCCGACATAAAGCAAAACCATCTGAGAAAAAGAGGACGTCTAAATGAAACATCAAAAAGAATAATATTACGAGAGGCATAAATCAGCAGGTCTGAACCTCATGTCAGAAATCAAGAAAGTTGCATGCAATAGAGTGAAATAGAGGAATCGAATGCGAGACCTATGTGGCCGTCATGGCACCCAAAGGATGATGATGAATATGATCAAATCCCTTAATACTACGGCAACAATGGACCTAGAGCAAAGAATATAGTTTCAATATAGCAGCACATGATTATCTCGGAGATGAATCATAACATAGGACGGAAAACTGTATTAAAGAATTATCTGCTGGTTTTCTCAGAATAACTTCATGTGGTTTATCTCTGCCAAAATAGGCTAGCTCGCCCTATTCGGAACAGTACAAATAAGTAATAAAACATATGTACACTTTTATTTTAAACAGAATAACAAGTCTAAGGTTGAACGCCAGCAAGGAGATCAAAATTAGAATTTTGAGAGCTTGCAACTTTCCTGTAGCAACATACGTATGTGAGTCGTGGACTATCTCCCAGTCCTTGAGAAAGAGAATAGGCGCTTCTGAGCTGAAATGCTATAGAAAGATTATCAGAATATCTTGGACCAAGAAGAGGATAAATACTACATCTTCAATGATCTGCACATCCACGGAGAATGGCTTAAAAAAAACAGCATCCTGTCACGGAGGCTGAAATATTTTGGTCACATCAAGCGCCACGACGGTTTGGAAACAATATTAGCAGAAGGCATGGTACCATGAAGGAGAGGCAGGGGCTGACCAACGCGAAGATGGGCACAGGATATAAGTGATTCCTCGAGTATGAAAGTACATGTGGCGGGAGAACCGGCGAGAGGCCGAGTTTTTTCCAGGCAGACCGTTATGGGAGCTACGTTCTGCAAAGGACCCGCTACATGATGATGATGACGCTTTTATCGTATGTTGCTTGCTACTTATTTTTATGGACTAATATATAATCGATGGACAAAGTCGGCTGGATCACTATGAGTCAGCATCTAAAATCTGCTGTTCGCACATATGGTCATTTTGAGGAATTTCTTTCCACATTTTTGTAAACCGATCATTTTTTGGCTGTTTGTGGTTTTACGTTCAATAGTTTCCCTTCGTCCTGAACAATTGGCTCTCCACACAATTGTAACAATCAACGCAAAGCTGTCTGCTTTCAAATCGTCAAAAGTTGGAAAATGAACGGGTGATTCAAAATTACAAGCAGCTTTACATGCCGATTAAATAAACAGTGTACAAGAAAACTAACATACATTCACTCTGCATTTTAGTTCATGTAGCCTGAAGAGCGAGTAACGTGCACAATTATGTCAACAAACTCTACAGCTGTGTATCTTTCCGCGCCTGACGACCTCAGCATAGAAACGACGACCACAATAGTTACAGTCAACATTGTTGCTTTAGTTGGAGTCATTTCCATATTTGGTATAGCGTGTAACATAATCAATATTTTAGTGTTCTGTAAGCAAGGATTTTCAGAGACCACAAATATCAGCTACACCGCACTTGCCATTTCCGATTTACTTTCCTTAATTAATTCTTGGTGTTTAAGTGTCTTCTGGAATCCGTGGTTCTTGAATTCTGGACTACCTGTTGTATTTTTTGACATTCAGACGGTATTTGCAACGTGGCCTTACGCTTGCTTCAGCAGAATTAATGGACTGGTGACTGCTTTCGTGACGTTTGAACGATGTCTGTGTGTGGTCTGGCCATTGCAGGTGAAACGGATCTTAACCTCGACAGTCACAATCATTGTCCTCATTTCTATTTATTTCATAATGTGTCTGGTTATGGTGCCTGTCTATTCCATATCTACACTTGGCTGGAGATCTGAACCCTGGACAAACATGACTTTACTGGGAGTCATTATGGGCGAAAATGCTGAATTAATATCCAATATTTCTTATACTGTCCAGTCGGCCACCCAGTTATTTGCCTTTTTCACTGTTTCAGTTTGCACTGCAACTCTTATTGCCTGTCTGAAACAAAACACAAAATGGAGAGCAAAGCAGTCTACTACTCAGAATGCAATCAAAAAGGTAATAAAACGACAAAGCAAAGCCATAAAAATGGTAACTTTGATAGCAGCAACTTACGTAATTAGTCAGTTACCAACAATCATTAGCCTTGCTGTAACAGTTCTATATTCAGATTTTGGACCAGTGGGTAGATACAAGAACCTCTTCCTAGCTTTCTGGACTTTCCTTTTGGTTTGTGGCGTCCTGAACTCGACTGTCAATTTGGTAGTATACTACGTCATGAGTTCAAAGTTCCGACAATCATGTAATCAGATACTTTCAAAGCTGCTCATAAACAATTAAATGATATTGAATACTAGGGTTAAATTTGTTCAGAAGGTTTACTGCAAAAAATGAAAATGGTAGACGAATCAGGATCTCACTAATGAATATTTCTAAAGACAGCAGGTATACACTGTGGCCAACCTTCATTACGGAGACGTCACAATAATTAATTCTAAATAATTGGTGTGTGATTATTGTAATGTTATTTCTATGATGTAAAAGCTGAAAGAGGATGGTCTGAGCTTACAACATCTGAAGAAGTACGAATGCCCAAGTCTGTTAAGTGTAAAGCTCTCCCAGGCTAGATTCGGATGAGAGTGCTCACGGTCTTTGAGGTCAACTGCTATTTTGTAGTACCGTGCTCTTGTAATAAAGATTTGATGGGCGTGCTCTGTATGCCTTTGGTTGGATGTATTGTTGGACAGTGTGTCTGTCACGGGTCCTTATAACGTAACGAGCCATAGATTCAAGGTCCTTGACAGTCGTACTTTTATGTACGACAAGCTAGATGTTATCAATGTAATTTGGAAGCGAACGAACGCACAGAGGCGTAATTACGTATAGTTTCATCAAAGTCTGAAGAGAATGCTGCAACGCTGATCTGGCCAACACTTCACAGTCCGAGTAAAGACAAGAAGGACATACAGTCTGACTGCTGCTGGTACTATCGGTGTTGGCCTCTTCGCTGGCTGCTGTAGATGGGGACAGGTCGTTATTGGAGATGTCCCAAGCGCAGTGGTGCTATTCTTGATATTTAGCTAAACTCTGTGGGTGGTTTTGCAAAAGGCAGTTGATATGACTTTCAGACAGTCACACAACAGTCGCACAATGGGAGAGGTTGTGATCTCACTTTTCAATTTTCCTGAAGACAGTGGTAGATTTACTTGTCCATTGCAGGGTATCTTTATTGTGTAGATGATACACACACACAAGTTATGATACCTTTCGAAGATGTCATATGTAGCATACAAATGTGACCAAAGAAAGTTATACTAGTGTTACTGCGTCTCCATACTACCAAGATCTGAGACAAGGTCGCTGTTAACTTAAGCCCGAGCTAAATTCCACATAAAAAAGTCACTATGGAAGTGTTGATAACATGCAAAAGGTCGTGGAAAATCAAATAGGCGCACTTCTCTTTTAGATTGTCGGTATATTAAACATGATTTCCTGATTACATGATAAAGTAAAGCACCACATTTTACACCATTGGCGAATCAGTTACTTGACGCAAGACTCACATTATTAAAGATTAACTGATATTCAAGGGCGGATAAAGTCAACATTATACCGACTAACGTATAATGGCCGATGTGCTCAACATCATGCCGACCGTCTGTACTTTCCATTCATTTCCTTTGACATATTTTAATGCTGGCTAGACCTGAAAAGAATTGTCAGTTGTCATTTTAAATTCGTCTTTACCGAGGTAATATGGGCGTTTTTCCCCAAACTGACCCATCCCCCCCCCCCCCTTTTTCCGCATTTTTTTTCTGAAATGTACGGCATGATAGTCGACCCAACTTCTTTCTCTTCCCCCCCCCCCCTCCTTTTCCGCCTTTAAAATGAAGACCATTCAATGTCCCTAACTGGCTGATAACTGTCTGGAAAATAAACGGGACGAGCAACAGGCCTAGCTCCCTCACACCCCCACCCCACCCGCCTCATAAGCCGCACCCTAGAAGTCCCACCACCTCACATCCCAAAGTATTTATCTCAGTTGATCAGGATGTCATGACGGTTCCCACTTCAAGGTAAACAGGTCAGGCCATTATTGTTCCCTTTCTGTGCAAGTGAGAGTCTAAGAAATTGCCCTGCAGTGTCCAGTATATTATCTGCGATAGGACAACCTTCACCTATATTTTACAAACTGATGAAATAATTTATATGAACATTGAGCTGTGTATGTTTTTTTTTAAATCCTCTGGAAGTTATTTATGAGTTGATTTAAGCTCGGCTATCAAGACATTCTATATGTGCTCACATCCCCCCCCCCCCCACCCCCCTCTCCCTGCCACCACCTTCCGTCATCTTCAACTTTTAGTCTCCACTATTTGACAAGACCTCGCACTGGTGTCTCTCTCTCATGCCTGACAGCGTCCCTAATTCACACCCAGACCTATTGACCTTAGCATTCCTGGCGTGAAAATGGTCTCCTGCAATCATCATGTTAATAGTATGTGCCTCTGTTGCAGGCTCGCAAACATAAACTTCCTTGTGTGCATGTTAAACTGGGCAAGAGGGGGCGGGGCTGCTTGGTATCAAGGTATGATGTCCGCCTCAAGTGTTAGAGGTCCCGGTTTCAAGCCGCTTTGAAAGCTGGGATATTTTCTCGTGGACTTCGAGTAATTTCCTATATTCTCTGGGTAGCTGGACCGGACGCCTGTGTGTATTGTTGAGCACGTACAAAAATCCCTTGTCAGTTAGAATTCGGGCACAATTTTTGAATTAAAATATCTCTCCCCCCCCCCCCCTTAAAAAAAAGTATTTCAGGATCCTTGCCGATACAACAGAGTTCTTGCACTGCAATGAGACCCCTCAGACAAAGGCTTGAGTTAGAAGAAGAACGGAGCATTTATGGGATGCCATGATGTTGATCCGTTGAATAGACATAGACTGGGTAGTGCTGGGAGTTCAGTCAATACAGTGCGTAAGACTTCTAGTTCACACCAGTTGCGTAACGAACTTATGCTACTGGACATATATTTTAGACCAGTGGGCACTCGATGCATAACGTGGTTACTGTGACACTGACCGCTTGATTTACCATGATGTATCTGTCTGTGAGCAAACGTCAGGTATAAAACAGACAAAACCTGACCTTAGGCGGATTCGAATCCAGTACCTTTAGGCGAGCAAGCACATCTGCTAGCTATGTAGAACCACAGAGTTTCCTTATCCCACACCTGTGTGTGACTTGACAGAATTATCATAATTACATACGTTTTCCTTTGGTCTAGATGTACATGGAGATATTCAAGTGTATATTACGCAAGTCAGTTGGCGAACGTTGCATTTGTTAACAAGTAGTTTTACGTATTCTAAGTGTATGATGGAAACATATAATGCGGCAGTAATGATGAAAGAATCCCAGGTTTTTCCAGAAATTATTAGAGTAACCAATGAATTTTTTTTAAGCTTGCTGAAATTTTAAACTACATTTATTTGAAGCTACGTATTTTTACCACCTATAATGCATAAAATTAAAATGGATTGATCTAGTTCATCTGGGTAATAATTCGACATCACAGCGTTCAGGGGACACCCACAAAAGCTCATTCTCTCTCCTCAACCGCCAGTGCAAACTCCATACTAATGATTCACGTTCTCATCAAAAGTTAAAAATGACAGTTCAAAAGGTTGTCACTTCTTTGATGTTTTGAAATCGTAGTGTTATACCAATTGTTATCTGGCTATCAGTTTGAATTTTACACTAAATTTAACTCTGCATCAGGTATATGTAAAATGTTCATTCTGAGTGTGCCGTGAATTTATATTTCAAAATAACCAGCTATATCATTTTAATGTCAGTCGAAAAACTTTGAACTTATCACAAAGCCGAGAGCTGTGAACGTGGAAGATATTTAAAAACTTAACAGTTAAAGATCGTTTTCATACTGTCGGCCCATCGATTTTGTGGTGCTGCACGGGTATTTTAACTCACAATTCGATAAGTGCTGCGCTAAGAGACCATCATAACAACAATAAGTGGGCACTTCACTGTTAGTGGAAATTCTAGTAGGAAAAGTGGAAAGCGGAAGGTGCAACAGGAAGTTAAAGAATACTGTGAGTATTTTAAAAATGACTAAAAAAAAAAAAAAAAAGAAGACTGGAAATACCCCGATTACACACATGGCCGAGAATGTGGTAGACAAAATCAATAGATCTATCAGGCGCTGTCTCTTCAATGATGTTTGGCTAGTGTGGGTCGCCAAAACACTATGTCTGTCAACCTCGTTTTATACTCTCTCAGACTGAAATTCATCGTGTCTTGATATTATACTTCTTTCACTGTCTGTCTCTTGTTTGCTAGCTTTAAACTTTCCTTCAATGATTTTGATAAGTGTGTTGCACTCTGAATATAGCCGGAATACAAGAATTTTTATTGTTTAAATTTTTTTATCATTAACTCTATTTTAAATTCTTTCTGTTCGATACCTGCGTTTGCTTGGTTTATTTCTATGAAATACCACCTAATCTTGGTATGTCTTTATCTCCTGAGATTCACTCTTCTGCTTATTAAAGTTCATGCCGTGTAGCACTGATAGTCTTATCAATTTTAAACGTTCTGTCTTGCATACTTTCGATCAGTTCTGAGAGATGATCTTTCATGTCATAATGTCAAACTATCCATCACCTTCTCTCTCCGTCTCCCTCTGCCTATTTTCATGCTTTTCTTAGTCTTGCGTTGGTTTCGACGATGGTACCGAGACCTGGCCCTTAAGAAGGAAATGGCAACCTACTGAACTTAAAATTTGCCTAGAAAAATCACAACAGCCAAAACGTGCTAGGGTTGGTTCTGCAGAATCCTGTAAACGATATACGCAACTAACTTTTAACATACACATCACCCACACATACACACAAAGACATGGGTGATTATGTATATTTATATCATATTTTACTCCACATTTTAGTTAATCAAGCCTGAGGTACAGGTAACAAACGTCATCATGTCAAGAAACTCTACAGCTGTGTATCCTCCCATAGCTGACGACCTCAGCATAGAAACCACGGCCACAATAGTTACAGTCAATATTGTTGCTTTAGTTGGAATAATTTCCATGTGTGGTATAGCGTGCAACGTAGTCAATATCTTAGTGTTCTGTAAGCAAGGATTTTCTGAGACCACAAATATCAGCTACACCGCACTCGCCAGTTCCGATTTACTATCTCTAATGATTTCCTTGTGTTTGAGTATCTTCTGGAATCCGTTGCTATTGAACTCTAGATTGCCAATTGTATTTTTGGACATTCAAACGGTATTTCTAGTTTTGCCTTACGCTTGTTTCAGTAAAATTACAGGTTTAGTAACTGCTTTCGCTACTTTTGAACGATGTCTGTGTGTTGTTTGGCCACTAAAGGTTAAACGAATCTTGACCTCAACGGCCACAATCATCTTCATCATTTCTATTTATCTGATAATGTTTCTGGTAATGGTGCCTGTCTATTCCATATCTACACTTGGGTGGAGATCTGAACCCTGGACAAACAGGACTTTACTAGGAGTAATTAAGGGCGAACATTCTGAATTAATATCTAATATCTCTTACATTGTCCATTCGGCCACCCAGTTGTTTGCATTTGTTGTTGTCTCTGTTTGCACTGTAGCTCTTATCGTCTGTCTGAGACAAAAGAGCAAATGGAGAACTCAGCGGACTACTGTTCATAATGCAATCCAAAAGGTAACAAACCGACAAAGCAAAGCCATAAAAATGGTAACTTTGATAGCAGCAATTTACATATGTGGTCAGTTACCGACAATCATAAGTCTTGCTGTAACAGTTCTATATTCAGATTTTGGCCCTAAGGGTAGATACAAGAACAGCTTCTTTGCTTTCTGGTCTTTCCGTATGCTGTGTGGGGTCCTGAACTCATCGGTCAATTTAATAATTTACTACGTCATGAGTTCAAAGTTCAGACAGTCTTGTAATCAGATACTTTCAAGGTTACTCACAAGCAGGATCGGGAAAGACTAAGATCAAACAACAGAAGCTGCATGATGGAATTGTAGCTTCGTGTATATAATATATCATCGTCATCTTGTTATGCGAGTGAATGCACCATGGAGCCATTAGTCTGTTCAGTAATTTCACCTTTCTAGTGCAGTTATTTTAAATATCATACATCGATGTTGTTCCAGCATATTTGGCCCCTCTCATAAAAGTTTAAATTTTTCTATTTTCAATTTTTATTGCGTATACTTCCTGTGAGACAATGACCTGTCCCTGCAGAAAAACACATACATATATTTTACGGTGACCCACATTCTACATTTGCTTTTGCATAAATGAAATCTGCTAAATCCAAATATCTCAAAGATTTAGCGGTAGCTGCTTTAATTTTTAAGATCCAGGCATTTATGTGTTTAATGATTTTAAATGATTTTCTTAGTAAGCCCGGGGATTATTATTGCTGTCTAGTCCCTCACAAAATAAAACTGCATGTATACTTTCAGTGTGAAGATAAGAAGAAAACCCCCATCGGTCTGTAGGTAAACGCTCTGGATTAGCGCGTTCCTGCATTTTTTGTTTTTTTTTTTTGGGTGTGATTTGTTTCAAGAATCTTCAAAGACATGCCTTGTTTAGTTTTTGAACCACTGCATGCCTCTTAATAAGCTGGTTATTTATTTGTGTGTGCTAAAAACAGTTTTTTTTTAAAAGCTTTCTTTAAAGTATAACTAGGTGACTATGACATGTCTTGGGCTCCTTATATTATTTGCAAATCATGGCTCGGTTAAATCTCCCCGCGTGAGTTCCTGGTTCCCATTGTGGAGGAAAACAATGATAGAACCACCGCTCTCCTACAAGCATGCCGTAGGAGTTCACTAACTGAGGACTTCCTGCGAAGTAGGAGTGCATCTGCCCGAGTGGCAAGATACAACCAGCTGCAAACAAATAAACCAGTAAAACGGATGTACACGCAACACTCAGGCTCTGGAAGAAAGCCAAACTGGCGAACAATCAGGACTTTCCGACGGAGCTTACAGCTGGTCAGTAAATAAGATGAAGAAAAATCTCAATAGGTTCGCGAGAGCCTATAAACCAGTATGATGACATTATTTCTGTTTTATCATTATTGGGAAATTATTTGAGAAATGAAATAGCAAAATATAGAAATATCCAGTCAGATTATGTTAGACTAGTGTTTTTCAAGCCATGGGCCCCGGCCTACAGATGGACCCTGAAGAATGCCTAATCTTGTAAAGTGTGTAGTTTACCTCTTCCATAATTCCAATCTGTAGATGGGCCACCAAAAATGTCTGCCTAAATGTCGCATGACACTTATGTCGCATGTCTTTATTAGGGTTTTTCCTGGTAGTCAAAGACACTCTGTAATGACTTAATGTTAGATGGTGGCTCGCATGTTTCTAGAAGGTACTCCGTAGCTCCAACGACCGTCCAACATTACTTTAAAGGTTAAGCGACGTAAATTAGGATTCCCTTCAATAATAAATATACCCTGGCACAACTTGGCCTAGCCTCTTCACCACTTAGAAGCCCCCAGAGTAGATAGCAAACGTTTCATAGTCAAAATATAGCACAGTAATGAATTAGGCCAAACAACACCTCAATCACACACAATCTAATCTAAAAGAACTGGAGAAGATTGGCAACTGATAAATCTGAAACCAGAATAATAATACATCGTGTAATAAGGACAACACAGGTAAAGACTCTGCAAAGTAAATGACTTGAGAAAAATAATGACTTCAGAATTAAACTCTTCCAGAAAGACTCCTGGGATGCCTACAACACTTTAAAGCTCATCAATGCAAGACCTTGTTGTGACAAGAGTAAAAGTTGTCACTAGTGTCTAAGGTGACCGCAGTTTCACAGTATCCTTAGTTACTTAGCTGAGATGGACTTGATCCTCTCCACAGTTCATAGGCCGGACTTCACTAGGACAATGAGTAAGGCCTCCGTTATAGAGTACAATGTTCACGCTTGCTATGCATTATCAATTAAATGTGCGAAAAACACTTAAACAGTCAATTTCCACAACAGGGAAAGGTCCTCTTAATTATTCACCACTGTCAACAAAAACAATTGCAATTTGCAACACTCTGGTTGGATTCGGCAGAAGAGCAGATCATGGATTATGAATACTAGACATGATGAGGATGTTTGATGGGCACAAACTGTTCTATGTCAGGTATGACACCACTTGTCACCTCTGGTGGCTTCATCACAAAGACTGGTGTCAGACAATCTTCAGTACTGCTGTACTGTCTCGAGGTTTGGGGTTGTTGAGTATTGACATGAGATGCAGTAGCCAGACAATCGCACATTAGGCTTTGTGATTCTGGCACTCCTCCAGAGTGGTTGACACACATCCTGTAAACAAAGTGTTACAAGAATTAGCTAACCACTAAACGCTGTACCCTGTTCACGCTCACTTCACAGTGCAACTTCAGTCAAATGTTCAAAACATAGTCTTAGGCTAGTAAAGACCCACCAGGGCTGCATACATTTCTCAGGCTTCTTAGCAACAAGAAGTGCTAGACATCTTTTCTGCTAAATGCTTCTGTACTAGTGGCAGCGCTAGTCTGCCTATACGACCGGGAGAGTGCGAACAGTCAGTCCTTTTCCATTGTAAGGTACTTTAACTCACACAGGCATGCCACGGATACATGGAGAACAACTAAGGCAATTATAAATAAATTACAAATATTCATTAACTGGTGCCTGCGCAGAATATAAAGAATTAAATGGTATGATAGAATAACTAATGTAGAGCTTTAAGCGAGAACTAAGCATGCTCCATTGAACTAAGCGGTAAGGAAAAGACGCTGGCGATGGGTAGGACACACACTGAGAAAACCATAGAACTGCATATTTAGAATGTCTTTCCATTTGAACCTACAGGGGGAAAAGGAAGGCTAAAAACACATGGAAAGAGAGCTGGAAAATGAAGTTAGAAAGATGTTAAGGACATGGGGAGAGCTCCATGCAATGGCGAAGGATAGAACGACTTGGCGTGAGCTGGCTGAGAGCCTATGCTCCATTGGGGGACAGAAAGGCAAAAGAAGAAGTGACCCTGACGGAAGTTACGTCATACTCGGTAAGACTAAATGCCGAGCCACAAGCAGAGTTGAATTGCGTTCTGGAACAGCTCGTTCATTCGGTTTCTCCTACATTTAATTGTATACACATGCATAGGACATGATCAATTCATATTTATAATTAAAAAAAAAGGATACATGAAGTGCAGTCTGTCTTGACCATCCACAGAGGGAATATAAGAAGATAACACCCATACGCGTGTGGGCAAACGCTGCAGTTTAAATTGTCTAAAGGCTTTGTCCAGCTGCTTCACAGTCATACCTGTCTTATACTCAGCTGCAGGGCAAAGCACTATAATTAGAAGAACTTTCAATGTACTTACCCATGCTCAGTGGAAGTTCCTGTGTGACTTGGAAACTTTCAAATGTGGATCTGAAAATTTTCAAGATAAGGACGAAACTCGTCTGTACGCTCTGGAGACTGAGCCAAGAATGATGATTTGAATTTGCAACGCCCAAACAGAAGCAGGACGTCTTGTGCCGTGAACAGGCAGTAGTTCGGCTGATGGGAAAAGGCCTCGCTGCTCTTAGAAGTCACTAACTTATGAGTATATTCCTAAAATAACTCACCCGCAATACATTTAGGAACGAACTGAGTATTCATTTCGGCATTTTGACCCATAAGTACAAAAGAAGGACATTTTACTTATGGAGGAAAGTCAAGATTTGAAAATAGATCTTTCACATAGAGGTGTACAAGATGTGAGCAGGTCTAAGACCAGAGCTGTCTTCTGCTGTCAGGCGACACTAATCTTGTAACGGACAGAGTGTGTTGTTTTCCTTTTCCATGATTCCAGTCTGTGGGAATACAGTCTAAAGAATGAGAATCAGACATAAAAATCCCAATTTCTTTCAGCCACATAAAACAGATTATACTGTAACATGTTGGTGTATAATACAATTCTTAAATAGCAACAGATGTCATATTTGCTGAAAATTCAAATTTTCTGACACAGGATATAACAAATAAACCTACATTAATTTTTGTTTCTGAACTTTACTAGCTGTCAGATGGGCTTTGAAACACCCGGTTTGTGTGGGCCTCGGGTATACTGGGATATAGAAATGGAGTGGAGACGACCTGTTCTTCATGAAGATGACATACCAATTCCAACTGCCACTCAGATTTTCGATTCCCTGTTAGAAGATGAGAGAGCAGTAGAATGTGGCACGACAAGTGGCCGTGATGGAGATTTTGAAAATGACGTTTTAGCTGCTCAAAGCTTTAGTCAGTTTGAACCGAATTCAAGATCTATATCTCTCTGATAAATCTTCTGAGCGTTTGTCTTAAAATTTAAA